CTCTGGAGGCTGAGGCATGAGAATCACTTGAACCTGGGAAGCGGAGGTTGCAGTGAGTCGAGATTGTGCCACTATACTCTAGCCTGGGCGACAGAGTGAGACTTTGTCTCAAAAAAAAAAGAAGCTTCGAAACTTTTTGCCCAAAGTGGATATATCATATATGTATCAATTTACGTTTCTACCAGCAATGCATGAAAGTTTCCATTGCTCTGCATTGTTGCCAACTCTCAGCATTATGTCTTGATTTTTAGGCATGCTAAAAGGTGTGGATGGGTACCTCACTGTGGTTTTAATTTTCATTCTCTTGATAATTAAAGATGTCAAGCATCTGTTCAATGCCTTATTTTCCATTTCTATCTCATATAACCATATGGATGGATCTCAACTACATCACATTAAATGAAACAACTCATACTCAAAAGAATACAAACACACAGACATAGACACACACAGTATGTCTCCATTTACACAACATGTGGAAAAGGCAAAATTATACACACAGAAAGTAGGCTTGTGATTGTCAGGGGGAAGAGGGATGGACTAAAAATAGGAGGAAGTGCAGGGAAGTGAGGGAACACTGTTCTCTGTCTTGATTGTGGTATTGACTGCATGATTAGATATAATTGTCAAATCTTTGAGAATTCTACACTTAAAAGGGTGAATATAACTGTATGTAAATTATACCTCAATAAATATGACCTTAAAAAAAAAGAAAAAAAGCTGTAAGGGTCGCGTGTGGTAGCTCACGCCTGTAATTCCAGCACTTTGGGAGGCCGAGGCGGGTGGATGATAAGGTCAGGAGTTCAAGACCAGCCTAGCCAAGATGGTGAAACCCCATCTCTACTAAAAATACTAAAATTAGCCGGGCATGGTAGTGGGGGCCACTCTGCCTCAAAACAAAACAAAACAAAAATTAGCCAGGCATGGTGACACACACCTGTAGTCCCAGCTACTCAAGAGGTTGGAACAGGAGAATCACTCGAACCCAAGAGGCGGAGGTTGCAGGGAGCTGAGATTGCACCACTGCACTCCAGCCTGGAGACAGAGCGAGACTCCGTCTCAAGAAAAAAAAAAAAATTATAGTCACGTTCATACAAAAACCTGCACACAGGTGTTTATAGCAGCTTTATTCATAATCAGTAAAAGTTGTATGCAACTAAGATGTTCTTCAGTAGGTGAACAGACAAATCATAGTACATCCAGACAACAGCATATTATTCAGTGCAAAAGAAAAAAGAAGAGCTAGAAAGCCATGAAAAGACATGAGAGAAACATCAATCCACATTACTAAGTGAAACAAGTCAATCTGAAAAGGCTGCATACTGTATGGTTTGAAGGCAAAACTATGGAGACAAAAGCAGATAGCCAGGGATGTAGGGTAGGAGGCATGAGTAGGCAAAACAGAGGATTATTAGGACAGCGAAACTGCTCTTTATCCTTCTGTAATAATGCATACATGTCATTATTCGTTTGTCTCAACCCATAGAAAGCACACCAAGGCCAGGCATGGTGGCTTATACCTGTAATTCTAGCATTTTGGGAGGCTGAGGCAGGTGGATCGTGAGGTCAGGAGATCGAGACCACTCTGGTTAACATGGTGAAACCATGTCTCTACTAAAAATACAAAAAATTAGCTGGGTGTGGTGGCACACGCCTACTACTCAGGAGGCTGAGGCAGAATTGCTTGAACCCGGGAGGTGGAAGTTGCAGTGAGCCGTGATTACGCCACTGCACTCCAGCCTGGGCCACAGAGCAAGACTCCGTCTGAAAACAAAAAAAACAATGCACATCAAGACTGAATCCTAATTAAACCATGGACTTTGGCTGATAGTGTCAATGTAGTTTCATCAACTGTAACAAGTGTACCACTCTGAAGGGGGATGTTGATGATGGGGGACGTTGTGTATACCTGAGGGTAGGGGATATACAGGAAATATCCGTACCTTAGGTGCATTTTGCTGTGAACCTAAAACTGATCTAAAAAATAGACTTTTATATAAATGGGTACACCTATACACATGTCAGTACTAAAATATTATGTTACAGTAAATACAAAGGAGAAATAACTGAAAGTCATGTATAGTGAAATGTGTTTTCCTCCATATTTCCTGAAATTCATGAGTGATACACTTAGGAGTAAGGTAAAATGGGAATAATGAAGGGTGACCAGACCTTGTTCTTGGGGATAAGAAGGAAAAGGTGATCTCCAGACATCCTCCTGAGGGTCAGCAGACATTGTCCTAAGTTGGGAATAATGGTGTATCACAAAATATCCAAAATTGAAGGAAGAACAGTAAAGCTTCAGATACAGTGCTGGATGAGGTGAAGGGAGAAATGGGTCAGCAGACATTGGTCTAAGATGTTGAATGCATATGATGGGCCATCAGATACTGTGAAGAAGTGAGGAAGCAGAGCTAATGATGGCTCAGTAGACACTGATCTAGGGTGGGATAATGGATGTGTCACCAAGCACTCCCCAACTAGGGCTTGGGAATTAAAGGAGCATTGTGGCTGCCCCTTTAACTATGTTCTATCCTTGGGCCCCATCTTCACCTCCCCATACTGCCCTTCCAAAAGGTGAAAACATCTCTGCAGGGCCCAAATTATTTCCCACTCCCAGAAGTGCCAACAGACTGGCCCCAGACAAGCCATTCTGCAAGTTCCAGAAGGGCCGCCCAGCAACCGTGCATCCAATCAGATCATCTGCCAGCATCTGTAAGGTCACAGCTGCCTGTATAGGGCAGGATACCTAATAGTCAACGAAGATCCACCCTTGTCTGCTCCAGTTCCCTGCGATTGGCTTCAGGCACCCCTTTTCGGGCAGGATGAGCCAGGTGTGTGGGTTGGGTTTTGGAGTAAGTGGGGCTATGTCAAGTTGCAGCTGAGACAGGGCATAGCTGTGCATGCTGAGGAAGAATGAGCAGGGAGTCTTTTGTAATCACATTGGAGCTGTGGGATCCTGGAATCATGGCAGAGAATATGGGAAGCAAGTATCCACATGGGATCTCCTGTACCTGTTTTCCCGTCTTTAACATCAGACCAAAAAGTTTACAATGACTTTTTAGCTTTAGGGTTGAGAAGGGATACAACCTAGGTATAGACTGAAGGTGAAAAAGTCTGGGTGTTTTAGGGAAGTTGGTTCTCCCTATTAGAGCTTCTTTTTTTTTTTTTTTTTTTTTTTTTAAGATGGGGTTTCACCATCATGGCCAGGCTGGTCTTGAACTCCTGGCTTCAGGTGCTCCACCCACCTTGGCCTCCCAAAATACTAGGATTACAGGTGTGAGCTACCACACCCAGCCCAGTTAGAGCTTCTTATGCTACAACACAGAAAAAATTAGAAGTCATGCAGCAAACACTAGTCAACTCTCCACCGGTGCATTTATGGAATCCCTGCTGTATGGCAGTCATGGGTCTAGACTCATAGTGGTGAACAAAAGGGAAATATTTTCTAGTGCAGAAGCCATAGAGAAATGAGCAAAATATACCACGCAGCATAGTGGAAAGTGCTAGGGAGAAAAATAAAAGAGGAAGGGTGAGGGGCTGGAATTTTAAACCAGGCAGGCAGGGAAGGCCTCTAAGGAGGTGTCATGGGAAAACAAACAACAACAAAAAAAAAACAACAACATGAGGAACAAGCCACAGATAAAGAATTGTGCTCTTTGCAATGGGCACTGCAAATACAAAGGCCCTGAGTCAGGGACTGAACTGATGTCTGAGGTATATGGCAGGAAGGGTCCTTGTGGGGTGCATGGGATGAACATGGACACAAGTAGACAGTGAATATATGGTGGTGTTAGTTTTCAAGAGTTGATCGATTTTACATGATTTATGAATTACCTCATATCGCATATATTGATTTCATGAGTTATCAACTTATGAAAGGCACATCATTAAGGAAAGCAAAATGCTGGGCTTCAACTCAGCAACAAGTAAATTAACAAAAAAGAAGAGGCTGAGTGGGAAGAATTCTAATAGCAGAAGGAAGAATTTAAATTGTCCCAGATAACCTGAAAATTCTAACCACAGAGGCTTTCTTGAGAGTGGTGGAAGTATACAAAACTCTGTGCTGGGCTGGGCACAGTGGCTCACACCTGTAATCTCAGCACTTTGGGAGGCGAAGGAGGGTGGATCAAGACTTGATCAGGAGTTTGAGATCAGCCTGGCCAGCATGATGAAACACTATCTCTACTAAAAATACAAAAATTAGCCCAGCTTGGTGCCACTCACCTGTAATCCCAGCTACTTGGGAGGCTGAGGCAGGAGAATTGTTTGACCCTGAGAGACAGAGGTTGCAGTGAGCCAAGATCATGCCACTGCACTCCAGCCTGGCTGACAGAGCGAGACTCTGTCTCAAAAAAACAAAAACAAAAACAAACAAACAAACAAAGAAAACACTGTATTGGGGATCCAACACATTGTGCTGAGGACCTGTGGGCTCAGAGAGGGTCCTGGCAGGTAATGAAAGGGGCTGCAAGTCTTGTGCTGTAACAATGGGGACTCAAAATACACTCCGAGGTCTGTGTCTGAATACATATAGGATTTGTCTTATTGCAGTATCTCTTGCTTGATAGAAATACTCATTGGGGAATTGGATGCATACAACTGTGTTGGATTCAAAAGAAGAATGAGAAAACACCCACAATTCTGCTCAACAGTGTGTTCTGGAACAAACAACTCACAGAAGGATTTATCACTATCTTTTTTTTTTTTTTTTTTTTGAGACGGAGTTTCACTCATGTTACCCAGGCTGGAGTGCAATGGCGCGATCTCGGCTCACCGCAGCCTCCGCCTCCTGGGTTCAGGCAATTCTCCTGCCTCAGCCTCCTGAGTAGCTGGGATTACAGGCATGCACCACCATGCCCAGCTAATTTTTTGTATTTTTAGTAGATACGAGGTTTCACCATGTTGACCAGGATGGTCTCGATCTCTTGACCTTGTGATCCACCCGCCTCGGCCTCCCAAAGTGCTGGGATTACAGGCTTGAGCCACCGCGCCCGGCCTCGCTATCTTATATATTATGTTGTCTTACCATTCAAACTGTTGGCACTATACCCCATCCACAGTACACAGGATTATCGTTCCCATAATATAATCTTTTCTATGAAGAATTTGGTAAGTGTTCCATTGTAGTTTTCATTAGATGAGAAGGCTTTTCCTATTCACCAAACTGACTGAGTTCCTTCTCAGTATGAATAATGCCCCAAGATTTATTGAGGCTGATGACAAGGCTGGAAGGGTCACTTGCCTCATTGAGTGCCTTCAGAGAGACTCTCTCCAGAACAGTGTTATGTGACATGCTGATGTGGTCATTCCTACTTATGATAGTATACATTTTTCTGCTGCATGAATGTAACAATGTACGATCAGACCCATCCCTCAGCGGGGTTTTCTCACACTGTTTCTCTCAAGCGTGAATGCTCTGATGGACACTGAGCACCGATTTCTGAACAAACCCTTTCCCACAGATGCCACACTTGTAGGGTTTGTTTCCAGTGTGTGTGGTCTGGTGTTTATTCAAATTCGACCTGTTGCTAAAGGCCTTCCCACACTCAGCACACACATAAGGCTTCTCTCCAGTGTGAATTCGTTGATGCACCTGGAGCTGTGACTTTTTAGTGAAAGACTTCCCACAGTCACTGCACTCATAAGGTTTCTCTCCAGTATGAATTCTGTGATGTGTAATCAACTCTGACTTCTGTCTGAAGGTCTTCCCACATTCAGAGCAAATGTAGGGCTTTTCTCCGGTATGAGTTTTCTGGTGCTTACTGAGATTTGACCTGCCACTAAAGGCCTTCCCACACTCAGCACACACATAGGGTTTCTCTCCTGTGTGAACTGGCTGATGCACCAGGAGCTGAGACTTGGAGGTAAAGGACTTCCCACAGTCACTGCATTCATAAGGCTTCTCTCCAGTATGAATTCTTTGATGAGTAATAAAGTTTGACTTGCGGTTGAAAGCTCTTCCACACTCAGTGCATACGTAGGGTTTCTCTCCCGTGTGAATTTTCTGATGAACAATGAGGACTGATTTCTGGTTGAAGGCTTTCCCACATTCATGGCATTCATACTGTCTCTCTCCAGTATGAATTTTCTGGTGTATATTAAGATTTGACTTCTGGGTAAAGGCTTTTCCACAAGTACTGCATTCATAAGGTTTCTCCCCAGTATGGATTCTCTGATGTGTAATCAAGTCTGACCTCTGGGTGAAGGCCTTTCCACATTTGGAACATAGATAAGATTTCTCCCCTGTATGAGTTTTCTGATGTGTAATGAGATTTGACTGGTTGGTGAATGCCTTCCCACATTTATTGCATACATAGGGCTTTTCTCCCGTGTGAATTCGTTTGTGAACATGGAGTTGTGACTTGGAGGTAAACAATTTCCCACAGTAACCACATTTATAAGGTTTCTCTCCAGTATGAATTATTTGATGTGTAATCAAGTGTGCCTTCCGGATGAAGGCCAGTCCACATTTGGTGCATACATATGATTTTTCTCCTGTATGAATTCTCTGATGCACTGTGAGTGTTGATTTCTGAGTGAAGGCTTTTCCACAGTCACTGCATTTATAAGGTTTCTCTCCAGTGTGAATTCTCTGATGTATAATCAACTCTGACCTGTAGGTAAAGGCCTTCCCACAGTCAGTACATATGGAAGATTTCTCTCTACTTTGAATTTTCTCATGTGTAATGAGGTTGGAATTATTGCTAAAGACCTTCCCATATTCAGTACATATATAGGGTTTTACTCTTGTGTGAATGCGTTGATGTACCTGAAGTTGTGACTTGGAAATGAAGGATTTCCCACAGTTACTACACTCATATGGCTTTTCTCCAGTATGAATTCTTCGGTGTGCAATCAATTGTGTCTTCTGAATGAAGGCCTGTCCGCATTCAATACAGATATAGGATCTCTCACCTGTATGGATTTTCTGATGCATCTTGAGTGTGGACTTTTGTGTGAATGCTTTGCCACATTCAGTGCATTCATGGTGTCTCTCTCCAGTATGAATTTTCTCATGTATGCTGAGATCTGAGTTATAAGGGAAGCCTTTCCCACATTCACTACATTCATAGAGTTTTTCTCCGGTATGAATTCTCTGATGCCTGAAAAGAGATGATACTTGAAAAAAGGATTTTCCACATGCATTGCACTTATAGGGCTTCTCTCTCGTATGGGTTTTCTGATGTGTAATGAAGTCTGGCTTCTGCACAAAAGCCCTCCCGCATTCAGTACATACATAGAGTTTTTCTCCTGAAGGAACCTTCGGGTGTACCTTGAATTGTGACTTCTGGGTGAATATCTTTTCAAATTTGGCACACTCATAGGATTTTTCCCCAGGATAAATTTTTTGATCTTGCGAGGAGGCTGGTTTATAACTGAGAATTTTTCTACGTAGATTATTATGGTCCCATAATTTCTCTCCTGTTGGAGTACATTCACAGTAAATATAGAAAGACATTTTACCATACTTAGTACTCTTCCTAACATTTTTTGAAGCATCATTTCTATTAAGAATATGTAAATGTAAATTATACTTCAAACAATTTCCAAATGAGTCACACTGATAAGAGTTTTTAGGGGGATGGAAAATGTTTGGATTCACATGAATTATTCTTCTGATATCCTTATATTCAGAATAGCTATTTGTAGTCAATATTTTCTTGACTAAAACAATATCACTGATGGGTGCGGTGGCTCATGCCTGTAATCCCAGCACTTTGGGAGGCCAAGACGGGTGGATCACAAGGTCAGGAGGTTGAGACCAGCCTGGCCAATATGGTGAAACTCCGTCTCTTACTAAAAGTACAAAAATTAGCCAGGCATGATGGCACACACCTGTAGTCCGAGCTGCTCAGAAGGCTGATGCAGAAGAATTGCTTCAATCCGGGAGACAGAGGTTGCAGTGAGCCGACATCGTGCCACCGCACTCCAGCCTGAGTGACAGAGCAAGACTATCTCCAAAAAAAAAAAAAAAAAAAGCAACATCACTAGATAGTGATTTTCTCTTCGCTGATAAGACTCTATCGGTTATCAATCTGCCATAGTTATTCTAGAATGAAATACAATCTCACTTCATTTCTATCATCATCTTCCCTTTCATTGTGGAAAGAAGTCTTTTATTTTCAGATATTCCCTGTAATAAGGTTTGAAATCCAAACGTTCCCTTTTGAAGGGATAATAAGTGACTTTTTGCTCAGAGAGCAGCTAGTGGAGGCTAGAGGGGAAAGTAAAAATGGCTCATGCAGAGTGAACAGAGAGAAAAGGGTAAGGGTGGGTGATTTGATGAGAAGGGTGTAACACTACTTACAGGAAACATTCTGGGGAACAAGTTAGCAGTTAAAAGAAATAAACTAGATGGGCCAGGCATGGTGGCTCACGCCTGTAATCCATGCACTTTGGAGGTCAAGGTGGGCAGATCACCTGAGGTAGGGAGTTCAAGACCAGCCTGACCAACATGGTGAAACCCTGTCTTTAAAAAATAAATAAATAAATAAATAAATAAACTAGATAAACAGATAA